AATGATATCATCGACTTAAGCAAATAAAATCTTAATAGTTTCCCAATGTATCATGGTAAATATAGAATAGTCAGTCTGAAATTGTTTGAAACCAAACTTGACTAAATAAGCAGTCAATTTGGCAAATCATTGCCTACTAGTTTGTTTCTACCGATATAGGGATTTCTTCAACATAACCACTTTCTTGTTTTTGACGGCTCAAGCTCAAAACCTGATGGAATATCCATACATACCGCTTTATCTAAATTTTCATAGGGAAATGCATTGCTCAGATCTATATGATGTAGATGCATATGCGTTACAAATGCTACAATCAAGATTGTCATCAATGTTTTAATTTTTTCCATAGGGGAATAAGTATATGAGAACTCTATTCCATAAATTTGTGTAAATTCCATTGCCATCAACCTTGCCTTGTATCTTTCCAAACTGTCATAAAGATTTAATTTGATCTTAACACCCATTTTTGTCTAATAATTTTTCTTCCATGAGGTAGAGTCACAATGTCTCATGCTTGGTTTCCTTGTAGTGCTTTTAGCTCTTCTATAACAGCCTTCTGCCAACATGAATGTTGTTTGGCTTCACCATAAGTCTTAGGTTCAGCTAAACAAAGAACACCCAGGGATTCTTTTTGGTAGACTAGCCTGAGATTTAATGAAAAATGAATTTGGCTTGTGTATACAGAATGGTATGGCTTGGAATTCAATGGATTTGTTTTGTAGTTTTGGACAAGATAAGCTCCTATGACCTTCTGAAGACAGGCTCAGTTGGTTATGGAAGAGTTATTATGCCTTCCCATATATCATCTTTCTCATTATGGACATCCTAAGATTACGCTAGTAAAGAAGTTTGTATTTGGTTTCGTGTTGGGATTTCAGTATCACTAGTTGGATTATGTTGATTTATGAAAGGTTAAGGTTCTGGAAAAAGTGGACTTAGGAAGTCTTGGTATGGAAATGGATCGAAAGTGATGGAACTGTGGAAGTAGGAATGGTGTGTGAAAGTTGGTGAGGCTGGGAAGGTTCTTCTGTTATGTAAGGTAGTATTTGTTCATAAAACTTCACATTCATTGACATAAACATGGTATGATTGGATAATCCAACAGTTTGTATCCTTTCATCCAGGAGAAAATGTTAGGAAACAGATTGTCTAGCCATGCCATCAAACCTCTGATTCCTTGCACCAAAGTTCCAACATAACTCAAATAACCAAATACCCGTCATACACTAGAATATGGAGGTTTCCCTTATTGTATATCATAATTTTAAATTGTTCAAGTTCAACAATGATAAAAGCAACCTATTAAATAAGTAGCATGAACCAGACATTCTCCCCAAAAAGAAAATGGTAGACCCAACTGAAATTTTAAAACACTTACCACATTAAGAATGTGTTTGTGCTTCCTTTATACCCTCTCAATATGTTGGGGAACTTTTACCAGTACATTGATGGTTGTTCATATTATGGTAAGGAACGGTCTCCCTAGGATAAGGCATGTGCTACCATCTTCATCAGTATCCAACACTGCAAAATCAACTAGAAAGACGAACTTCCCTACTCTCACTACGAGATCCTAGATGACGAAACCTTTTAATCCATTTCATATATGACTATGCCCTTAAGTCGAACAATAGGCCTACTGACTAGCTCTATGGCCATGTCAATAGGTCTTAGTTCACCTTCGGATAGTTTTTTGTACAACTTGTATGACATCACGTTTATACTTGCTCCTAGATCGGCTAATGCTCTATTGATAACTGTACGTCTAATTGAGCAAGGAATGAAGAGTGCACCAGGATCTTTACATTTGATTGGGGTTTTGTTGTGAATGAAGCCATATATGTCTTACTCAAATACGGTGTAGGTGCTTTATCAATCTTCTTATTCTTTGAAAGGGGTTCCTTGATAACCTTTGCATACTTGGGCACCTCGTAAAATTTGTCTAGAAATGGAACTGAGGTTTGCAATTGCTTTGTTATATCATGTGATTCAACACACACCTCATCATTTCTTGGTATCTTTCTTGAGATAGAGGAATCACGTTTCATGTTGGATTTTTTCCTCGGATTCTCAAAGGCTTTAGTTATTCACTTATGAATCCCTTGTAAGGAGAAATCAGGTTGCCCACCAGCTTCTCTATTGATTGAGGTTCTTTCCCGCTTCGGTGGTTTATAACAGGAGACTCTTTCTTTTGAAGAGGTTGAGTATATCTTGGAGATGCACCCCTCTCTTGTTCGATTAGAATTTAGGTTAGCACCTTGATAGATGATGCATATTTTTCACCATGGCTTGAGGTTCTTTCCCACATCAGTGGTTTATAACAAGAGACTCTTTCCTTCGAAAATGCTGAATATATCTAGAAGATGCACCCATCTCCTTTCAGTTAGAATTTGGGTTACCACCTCCATAAATTATGCCATATTTTCCACCATAGCTAACAAGTTCCTTTGGTCGACCTCTAGAGTATGAAAATGTTGAATGATACCCTTCACAAATTCATTCAAGAAGTAAAATCTCTTATGGTGCAACAATCCATTGTCCCACCATATCCTCTAATCTATAGATCCTCATATATTGATGATGGTAAGTTGGGACTAGGACGTTGAGGATAACCATAAGCTCTTGGTTTAGGAGTTCCAACAACGAGGACTAGTTCCATCCCTGATGGAAAATGCACACTTCCATTGGTATTGAATTTGTAAGTCAACTCTTAAGTATTTCTAGCAAGAGAGTTGAAATTTTCTACGAGAGGAGCAATGTGAGATGGTGAGTACTTCATTATTGTTAAAATCTTTTTTCCACAATCTCCCCAATCTCGTTCGTTCGACGCCACTTGATCAATGAGTTCATGAACTTGGTCTGGATTCTTGTTTATGATGGACCCTCCTCTGGTTTGTCAATGAGTTCTCTACATTCCCTCCTCAATCCATTGTAGAAACAATCCACGTGGAGCCAATCCTTAAATCCATGGTGGGGCATTTGAGAAGAAAAAAGTTATACCGCTCCCAACCTTCATGGAACGGCTCTCTATCCCCTTGTAAGAAGTTCATGATTAGTTGAGATGCCTTTGCCAGGGGAAAGTAACAGTTTACAAACTTCTCATAGAGGTATTTCCAAGAGCTGATAGAGAGAGGCAGTTGGTTTACAAACCACTTCTTAGTTACCCCATTAAGAGAAAATGAAAAATGTCTCAAACGGATGACCTTTTGGGCAATGGAGTCAAAATCGTGCTTTAAAATTTACGGTTTTACACTTCTAGATCATCAAAACGCTTTCATTATATACAATCTTTAGTGTATAAATCAGACTAAATTGCACTTTAAAGCTTAAAAGCTTACGCTTTTACGCTTCTAGTTCACCAAAACGCTTTACGCTTTTACGTTTTTAATTCACTAAATGAGTATTCTATTCACAAAATTAATTATAGAAAATATATTTTAAAGGTAAATCACTAACAATATGTTACATTTGAGATTAAAATATACATATAAAATACTTGGATGCATTCTTAGCTTCAATAGAGTAATCTAATTCACCAGCTAGGCCCTTTCCAAATTCATTAGCATAGAGGGGAATGTGCTTATTGTTAAGATCCAAGTTTATGAGCTTATTGTTAAGATGTTATGAGTTGCTATACTTTAGACATGAATTGCAGGTACTTATTAACTCATCTAAATTCTGTGCACTAATATTTTACATAGTATATGTCGTACTTAACACATTTTTTAGCGATTTTACAATATACGCTTTTATGCTTTGATTCTACGTTTTACGAATTTATCTCTTGTCCACTTCTAAGTAGAATCACGTTTTTGACTGCATTGCTTTTGGGGAATGCCGACTAGCTAGATTTCATTGGTTAAGTGGAGGAAAAACTTGTACATGAGTGTGCGGATTCTCGTCATTTAGACTGTGGAATTGAATGCTTGATTTAACTCAATGATCATGTAATTAAAATCTCATTATACTTGATGTGTGTTCTAGTCTTAATCCAGATAGTTTGTCACTAATTTAGGTCAAGCACCTAACAATGAAATCACCTTTTACTAAACGGTGTATAAGGCAAGATGTATGCTATAACCATTAGCCATTAGGAATATTCTAAATGTTTTACAAAATTAATGGTTATATTCTAAATGTTTTACAAAATATTATTTATAATTAATTATTTCTATATATTGGTCCTGTGCACAGTGCACTATCCGAAAACTCTAACCGAAGGAAAAAGGGTGGAAAAGCCGTAGGAGCGGCCGAGAGTGCGGCGACTGATTGGTCAGTAGTAGCACTGAGCTATGACTTTTGTCTTATGAAGGGAAAGTTGGGCCCAGCCCAAGAAAAAAGCCCAACCATCGTTATCCGGTTTTAAATTTCCACACACAGTAGTCGCTGGAAGCAATAAATAATAATATTAATAATTATTACTGACAAGATTAAAAAAAATACTGACAAAAACAATATAAAAACAGAGGAGAGAGAGAGAGAGAGGAAACAGTCGGACACAGACAACGAAGGAAAGAGAGAGAGAGAGAGACCGGGGAAGTGTGCGCAGAAGAAGCAAAAAAGGAGCAAAGCTAATTGAGAAGAAGCCATTAGTCCATTACCCTCTCTGACCTCTACTCTGCTCTTCCTCTACCCAATGCACTTCTTTTCTTTCTCCCACTGCTAGGGTTTTCCCTTCCCTTCTCTGCTCCCTTCCCAAACCCACAACTTCACCATTGTTTTCCATAAAACAGAGCAACTCGAAACAGAGTGAAGAAGAAGAAGAAACCATTTTTTCCGACCTTGACCATCTACAGGTACGACTCATCAAAATGTCATCTTTTCTTCTGTTTAGTTAACTTCTTTTGTTTTCTTTGGAGTACGAGAAAGGGCGGGGTCTCCTGTTTGTTTCAACTTCTCTCTGTTTGTTTATTGGGTTTGGTTTCTTGTGTGTACTTTTGATGCTTGGGCTTTTGAACTTTCGAAATGTGTCTTTGTTTTGTTCTCCGTGGTACTGTTTGAGATTCTTTATTGCTACCAACGCCCTTTGTTCCTTCCCCTCTTTATTTCTCCTCTCTAGTTTGATGGCAAAGCAAATCTGAGTTCTCTCTGGTAAACCTCTGCTCCTTTGGTTTGGGTATTTTTTTCTTCCCACACTTGTAGATTATCAGCAATGCAGGACTGTGTTAATGTTCTCCAGAGCTAACATTCTTTTGTGTTTGAAAGAAAAAGAAAGCTTCAATCTGTCCTCATTCCCCTTTTCCCAGGTGTGGAAAAAGGGCCAAGTACTCTGAGGAAAAAAAATAAAGAGAGTAAGAAAAGCATTTCCTTGCTTAGTTTGACTCCACTGTTTTCGCTCTGTCTCTGTGTTTCAGCCTATATTTTCCGTTCTGGGTGTGTAGCTTTTACTTATTCTGGATCTAAACTTATTTTGGACAATGTCTCTTCTGAGCTCCGTCCTCCACTTTGAAGTCTTCATAACTGAAACTTGGGAGGTTCATTCTATCATCAGTTTCATCTTTCATTTCACAGATTTAGCTTTTCTGTTCATTCCCTTTTTTTTTGCTGTTGCTCTTTCTGCCAAGAGAAAGAAAGTCCCCATTTTTACCCGTTTCTCGCGGAGTTACATGCATCAGTAACATGGAACCTTTTGTGGTGGTGCCAACACAGAGCAGATAGTGACCCACAGAAAGCAGAATGAAGCCAGGAAAATCCGGGAATGGGCTTCATTATGTTATTTCTCCCTTTTGGCTTCATCTCTGGTTTTGGGTACATTTACTCGTGGGGGGCATAATATATTAGTGCTTGAGTGAAAGCAAAGGCACCGCCTTTGAAAAATAATACCCAAAAAAGACAGAGAGAGAGAGGACAAGGTTGGGGGATTGTGTGTTTGTGTTCATGCTACATAATAATGAATTAGCTTGATGTTTTGTTTTTGTTTTGTTTCTGTAGTTCTGGTTGGTGGTAGTGGGGGTAGTTTTGTGAGGAGTTTCTTTGAAGGGACTGTATTGTATTGCTTTGTCTGTTCGTTTGAATGTTAGGTTTGTGGTAACTGATTTCAATAGATGAGATGGCTACTGCTCTACAAACTTAGAGATTTATTTAGTATACAATATAAGGGTATGGGGATTCTGATCTTTGAGTTAGTTTCTCAACCAAAGATTTGTGTCAAGGAGCTGTTGCAGGTGGCTTTCAGGTTGGGTTTGAAGACAGAGGGCCCTCTAGTTTTACTCATTTAGTAACTTGTTGTGCTGAACAAGAACAAGAAGGAGAGGAAGAAGGAAAGACGGAAGGCTCAGCAATGCAGACACCAAAAGCAAAGTAAGATTCTTTCTCATTTAGTAACCCTCATTTACGCCTTCTCCTCACTTTTAAAGCTCTTGAATGAGTTTTTGTCTCAGAATCATGTTTTGTTTATTATGGCAACTTGGTGTACCTTTTGGTCTTTCAAATCTTGTTCTTTTGTTCTGCTAGCAGTTTTGAGTCATTACAATTGGATATTGGCATCTAAAAAGTGAGCCCATTTTTACTTCCTGCATGGTAGTACTTGCCCCAAAACAATGCCTCAACTTGAACTTTGCATTGAAGATGATCTATACACTTGTCTTTCTACTGTAATGCTAGTAACAATAATCATGGGTACCTCGACTCCCACTTAATTTACCTTCTTCAACAATTCTATTTCTGCTTTAGGGGGGTTGGATCTCTTGTTTTGCATCTGTCGACATCATTTATAAGAAAAAGGAAAAAAGATATTGTTGCCTCAAGGTAACTATCAAAATGATTATGTTCAAACTTGTTTGGTGTTGCATCGATGTCCATGTGGTGGTTGAGAGTGTATTGAAAGGGATCAAGTTTTGGTGGCAGCTTCTGAAAGTTGTATTGCTACCTAAACTTCTCAAACACCTTGTGTGTATATAAAGATTTAACCTTAAAGGGAGAACTGTACATTTTCTTTTGGGTCATCTTATTTCAATCTCCATGAATCCTTCTGCGGACTTCGATAGCAGGGCTGCCTCCTTGGAGGTGCCACAGAGGAGATCTCCAGCCACCTCAAGAACTGCTCGCCAACTCAAGCCATCTGGAGCCGATTCTGATTCCGTGGGGTCCCCAAATCCTGCCACCAAGACTCCTAAGGACAGAAGCCCCAAGGTCCCTGAACGCAAGTCCCCAAGAAGCCCTATAACTGAGGTAATGTAGTCCAAACTCTAAACACTTTGATTACATTGGCAGGTCGTGTTGTTGGGTGTATTTGGTAGGATATCATGTGCAATAACATGCAATTGTTCATTGACACTTTCTATGTATTGTGAATCTCATTTCCGACTTGCTTTTGCAACAATGTCTGGCATAAGTGCATTCAACCAACCAATTATTAAAGCCAACTGTGTATCTTGCAGAAGAAGCGGCCAACTAGAGTTTCCGAACTGGAATCACAGCTATCTCAGCTGCAGGATGATCTCAAGAAGACGAAAGATCAACTGAATGCTTCGGAGTCAAGCAAAAGGCAGGCTCAGCAGGAAGCAGAAGAGTCAAAGAAGCAGCTCATGGATATGTCATCCAAAGTCGAGGAGTGTCAGCAGCAGCTGATGGAGCTGACTTCATCCGACGACACTAGAGTGGAGGAGCTCACTAAGATCTCCCACGACCGAGATAGAGCTTGGCAATCCGAGCTTGAAGCTGTCCAGAGACAGCATTCCATGGATTCTGCTGCCTTGGGAACCGCCATGAACGAGATCCAACGGCTGAAGAATCAGCTGCAGATCGTGGCGGAATCTGAAGCCACACAGATAAACCATGCTGAGTCAGCCCACGAAGAGTTGCAGAGGTTGAGGATGGAGCTCAATGAAACTCTTTCCCTCGTTGAGAGGATAAAAAGTGAAATGAATGATTGCAGGCACTCTGAAGCTGAGGCCATGGAAGCTGCTAGGGAAGCTCAACAGCAACTGGAAGCAATTGCATTGGAGTTGGAGCAGTCGAAAGCTCAAGCTAAATCCTTGGAAGCTTCTGGAGATTCTTCTGCAACAGCAATGGAGGTGACTGTAGACCAGGACGCAACAAACCAACTGAAGGGTGAAGTGAAGTCTTTGAAATATGAAGTGGGTCAACTGAAAGCTGCGCTGGAAGCATCTGAGGCTAGATACCAGGTGGAGTATATTCAGAGCACACTGGAGATTAGAAGTGCTTACGAACAAGCAGAAAAAACAAAGCAGGAGTCTGTGGAAAGAGAGGCTGACCTGGAAGCAGAACTTGAGAAGGCCAAGGCTAACATCGACAAACTGAAGGCTACTCTAATGGATAAGGAAACCGAACTCCTGAACATTTCAAACAAGAATGAAGGATTAAGGTCAAAGATGGAGGAAGAAAACCAGTCGAGTGAGAAGGAATCTGAACTAGCAATGCAGTTAAAGAAGCTGGAGCATGATTTCACATTGCTGAAAGCTGCCCTTCTAGAGAAAGAGACACAAGTGAAAGGTTTAGCCGAAAAGAATGACATGCTGAAGATCGAGATCGAGAGAGGTGAAGCAGAGAGGAGCAGGGCTAATGATGAGGCAGCTGCAATTGCTGACACAGCTAAGGCAGGAGAGAGGGAGGCATTGATGAAGCTTGGTTCTGTAACTGAGGAAGCTGATAAGAGCAGCAGGAGAGTCGCCCGGGTGACTGAGCAGCTGGATGCAGCTCAGGCTGCAAACACGGAGATGGAAGCTGAACTGAGGAGGTTGAAGGTGCAGGCGGATCAATGGAGGAAGGCAGCTGAGGCAGCTGCATCAATGCTTTCATCAACAGGGAATAATAACAACGGGAAGTTTGTGGAGAGAACGGGTTCGCTTGATAGTGGCATGAACAATTACAACACCATTGCTGGGACTATGGGTTCGCCTTTCTCGGAAGATATGGATGATGAGTCGCCGAAGAAGAAGAATGGGAACGTGCTGAAGAAGTTCGGAGTGTTGTGGAAGAAAGGGCAGAAGTAAACTAAAGGATCTAGTAATCCCTATCAGGCAAGTCTCCCTCTCTCTTGTAGCTTTTTGTTTTTGGCTAGCTGGAGAATGGATTGACAAGCTGAAAGCTTTTCTGTTTTGCAGGTTGAATGGGAGTACACATATCGCGGAAGGTGGAGTGATTTCTGAACTAGCCATGTCTTTTGTAAGAGTACTATTGTATAGAGAAGTTGGATGGATGGTGGCTGTCCATTTGTTATGTGCTTGACGCTACTAATCAGCTGGGGGGAAATTGGGACAAACTGATTCTGGAGCAGACAAGAGACAGCTAGCTTTAGTTTGTATTGTCATGTAAGAATTCCTTGTATGGTTTTACTTCGAGCAATGAGTTCCCCCGTTTTTTTCTTATATATCTTCCTGAATTATGTGATCAAAATGAATTTCCCATCTGTAGTCATATCTTCTTTCTTGTTTTCGAGTTTACTGATGCAACACTAATTTCAAACTATATGACAATATTTTTGCTCCACACATCCATTTTGCTCGGGAGTATATGGACAGGACGAGCGATGAAGAATGGCATGTTCTTTTGAGGTTGGACCCGACATCCCATCTTCCACTCTTGCAACAAGCATATGGAGATTGGCTTTTACCGTGTTCATCAAAGGGTGGGTTGCCACAAAGCTACTCGTTCACTATATCTCCACCGATAGCCAAATTATCGATCTTCTAATCAAACCACTTCGTCACCAACGATTTGTCACTTCCGAGCCAAGTCGAAGGTTATTGCCCTTCGACTTCGAGGGTGTGATAAACCGTATCGAGTCCCAATGTCCAACTACTTTGTGTTAGCTAGTTGTTTCCTTGTATCTCTCCAACCGTTTTCCATGCTCAGCTCCACGTATTGCTTTCCTCTTGTATAATTATGTACTTCATTTTTTAGTAATGAAAGTTAAAACAGTGCGCTGAAAAAAATGCTTAGTGCAAAACTTTGATTCAATCCATCAAGGCCCATATGAAACTTAGGCCCACTTAGACTAGGGTTTACACCGGATTAGTTGGGCCCGAATCCAATCGTGTTCCTCAAAACAGAGCCTGCTCTCAGGAATCCCTACCTATCTATATATACACCGCAACAACACGAAACGAGTGCTAGGGTTTATATTTTAATTGCCGCTCGCAGCTTCCCCTGTCCAAGCTCAGAAGACCCTCGGCGCCGCAGCAGAACTCCGTCCAGCAGCCATGGGGTACGTCTCCTCTTCCGCTGTGAATCCCGAGCTTCTTGTGCATTTCATTTTCCATCTGCCGAGCCATTTGAGATCTTCACTCGTTTTCTCTTGTTTGGATCCTGTGAACGATGATTTTTAGGGATGATAGCTATCATTTTTTGGATTTGGATGAACCCTTTCGTCGAGAAGTTGATTCTGTCCCTGTGATGGGTGTCTCTGGGATTGTTTATTTCCATGAACTTAGATTGGGACTTAGTTATAGCACCATTGTTCTTCAGTGAGCCAAACCTAGTTTCCAATATATTCGATATTCTGCACCTGAACTTTACTTTGGCCTTTGATCTTTATTATTTGAGGAGTTGTTACAGTGTATACGAGAATAATTGGGTTTAGAAAGCTGAGAAACTTTGTTACAGTGTATCCGAGAATAATTGGGTTTAGAAAGCTGATAAACTTTATCTTAAGAGGATGGGAAGTGATATATTGTTTATGTCCATAGTTAGAGATTAAGCTTAACTGGTTATAAGCTGTTGCAAGTGAAAATGGGTTTTGGTATGAACTTTATCTTGTGGTTGAGACTCGGTTCGTCCAATCTTTTGCAGGAAGACACGTGGAATGGGAGCAGCTCGCAAGCTGAAGACCCACCGCAGGAGGCAAAGGTGGGCTGACAAGGCTTACAAGAAATCTAACTTGGGTAATGAGTGGAAGAAGCCATTTGCTGGTTCTTCCCATGCCAAGGGCATTGTTCTGGAAAAGATGTAAGATTTTGCTCTGGTTTTGCTATATCATGTTCACACAACTTTAATACATCCCACTTTATCTGACTGTTGGTTTGAACGTCTGCAGTGGTATTGAAGCCAAACAGCCAAATTCTGCTATCCGTAAGTGTGCTAGAGTGCAACTCATCAAGAACGGAAAGAAGATTGCTGCCTTTGTTCCTAATGATGGTTGCTTGAACTACATTGAGGAAAATGTAAGTGCGCTTTTTTTGTGCTACCTATTCATTTCCCTCTATTTTCACCCTCTTGTCAATGTGCTGATCTTTGATATGGTTTGGTGGTGCAGGATGAAGTTCTCATTGCTGGATTTGGTCGTAAGGGTCATGCCGTGGGAGATATTCCTGGTGTCCGTTTCAAGGTTGTGAAGGTCTCTGGTGTCTCCCTTCTGGCTCTATTCAAGGAGAAGAAGGAGAAGCCAAGGTCTTAAGTTATCAATGGACATCTCTAGTTTTTTGCTGTAGTTTTCATTGTGTTATTGTTTCCGAAACAACTGTGGAATGGTTGTGGTTCTTGTCCTAGTGCACCTGCTGAGCCGACTTCTGGTTATTGTATGGACGAACCTTCAAATTTTGCAATCTTATATGTTGGAACTCTTTCACATTCTGAGCTCTGTAGATTTTCTACATTCTCGTTCCATCGCCGTGAGTCATAAAGAGTTGAAACCTTGCTACCGGCAATGTCTAAGTTGAACAGATCTCTGATCATAGGCTGAGATACGAGATTGAAACTAGAGCTTCTTGGCTTACATTATGGTCACACTCGCCATTGACGCCATTGTTTCAGTCCAGTATGTTCTTTCCCTCCATGGCTCACTCTGATTGCCAAAGCTCTGGAAAAGGATTCTTAACCTTAAAGAGTGTTATGCTGCAGAGTGCAGACTAGTTGGAACCACACTCTTGATAATGTTCATCTAACCATGCTCGAATGTACGAAACCACATTTTTACTATGGAAATTAGCGGACTACTATATTTGTTAGCAAAGTCCGAAACTTGGAACAGAATACTTCCACAAGAACAACATTAAGTCAAGCACCATTACTAAGATTGAATAGAATACTTCCACAAGAATGGAAATAAGTTAAACAGATCATACAGTAACGAAGCATAGATCGATAAATTGTTGGTCAGCAGGCCAACACTTCTGTCAAATGACTTAGCTGCTGCTAGTTAACCTACTATTAGAGCCACTCCCGCATAAAATAAATGCCCTCTACTCAACCTATTGCCTTCTCCGAAGATAAAAGGGACTCCCTACCCTCCCCTGAAGGGCAAGCAGTCTTCCACCTCCTGACCCTTATCCTCCCTCATAATCCACTTGACAACTCAGCAAGTTCTTCATTCCGCATATGAACCTCATGGACAGATTGAGGAGCTTCACCATAAGCTTTCTTCGGCTACTGTTCAAAACAGTTCATATCCTTCTGACTAGGACTGTTTTCTCTACTCATTGCAACAACATCACCTACCATGCTATGACTCTCCTTGTGTTCACACTCAAAAGATGAAACTTTCTCCTCCAGACCAACCTTTTCTATGCTTTTGGTAGATGGAAGCACAAAGGGAGTGTGCTGTTCATCAATAGGCGTGACTTTCACGGGCTTTGGATTCTTCTCCGCACTGCTTCCAGGGGAGGATGTCTTACTTTGCACTCTGGGAGATATGCTGGGAGAGCGCTTTGCACTTCTTAGAAGGCCGCTGCTGCCAACCTTTGGTACAGCCATTGAAGGCGCCTGGTTATTAGACACTTGGGATTTTGACTTGGAGCTGCTCAATGACTGTTGCTGAGTGCCAATTCTAGGAGTCCTGGCTGGCGTTGTTGCAGATTTAGCAGTTTGAAGATTTCCTGGCTTTCCTAGGTTTCCATGGAGAACTCCCCCTGGTCTCGGTAATCCACTGGGCACAACCCCTGGTTTTGTTTGTGAACTCCCATTTGAATTTCTCGAGGATGATCTCGCCTGGATTCATAAAAGTAAATGTATGAAATGAGGAAAAAGATTGTCCATAAGTCTGGGAAGACAGAAGCATGTCGCAGGTGACATTGCAAGAAAACACTTTATAAGAATGACTAGGAATGCGAGAATTCACCCCATCAAAGAAACCGATTTTTGGCGATGGTAGTCTGAGGCCGGAGGGCTTAGCTGACTCCGTAAGAAGTTCACCATTTTCTTTAGAGACCCTTCTCAATGATTGACCGCCTTGATTTCCCGCTGCACCTGGTTCACTACAATGGCTTGGAGAATCTGAAACTTGGGAACTCTCATCATCTTCATAAGGGTCTACACAAGAGGCTGTGTCGATGCTAGATCTTGAACAATTGGACCTCTTGTTAAGGGTTGAAGTTGGTGACAGTGATATTGACTCCGAGGACCATTCACTGACTGAGCTGGCGGGTGAAATGTTTGGAGAGTGCTTGCCCACAGACCTGAGATAAGGCGAGCGATGTGGGATTGTTGAGTGGTTTTTACTTTTTGAACCGATTCTTGATGTGGCTTTGGCTATGAGGCTAGAAGAAGGAACACCACCACCAGCCCTGGGGTCTACTTTTCGTGTAAAAGAGCTCAAGGAAGATCTGCTGCTACCACCATCAGATGAAACGCTTTCAGAACAATCAAAAGAAGAGACTACTGACTCTGTCTTTGTTGAACTCGAAGAAGACCGCCAAGGTGGCGATAGCTTGGACACAGTATTCCTTGAACCACCAGAAATGGGTATTTTCACTCTGCCTGCAACAATAGATCCTGTTGAAGGTGAGCACTACACACATCTGTTTACACTTCGAAGAACAGGAAAATATAATTGCTGAAACTAATCACCTGTCAAGTCTTTCGTATTTGCTGAATTGCTAGCTGAACATTTTCCTTTGTCCTTTTCCGATTTGGCAAAGGTGTTACTCAACGGACCTTTCTTGGCTGCTGTTGAGATGCCAACTCTGGCAGCTATCTTGGGGGGCTTAGACAGGGACGTTGTTTCTCTTTTTGTTTCAAGAGACTGCATTGCTAAACATTGTTAGTCGAACGTAATGCAGACTCAGTGATGCTACTGATCTAATGACTGACAAATGAGTGTACTCAGACAAGTCAGTAAAATGAAAATGAAAATATCATCAAATGTCGAAAATCTTGCAGAAGTACTTTTCCTCGGAAGAGAGATAGTAATGCCAAATCAATATAATTGCCAATTATATCAAGTAAAGGAACGTGCCTGCTGAGCTTGTGTAACAGTAGATGTGTTCTTCATTGTTCTCCGTGATCCTGGGATGACAACATCTGTCTTCTTTGAAGAAACTTTAGGTTTCAGCTGGAATCCGGAAAAAATAGACTCATAAGATGCATAAAACTACTGGCGATTGTGCTAATTGGGATCATGCATTGAGGTTACCTTGGTTTCAGAAGCTTCCTCCAGTTTTTTTGGAGCTGGAAAGGTACACAAAATCAGTCCCAACAGAAACTAGTTGAAAGTACATAGAGATTGTATTTTCACAATTTGCAAGTGGCAAATTCAACAGATGGCATGGAACCCAGCAGAAACCATTTGGATACAATAGACCTACTCTTGTTATCTTCTCTATACAAAAATTATGCAAAACAGTAGTAGCTACTTGGAATATGAAAATGCATGTTCACTTTTCATTGTCACTCCTTTAATAACATTGTTAGAAGTGCAGCGGGAACCCAGCATACCCCAAGGGTGAACTAAAGTTTAGGAAGTGTTTCAATGTACCATGTCAGTATAGACTGTTAAAAATGCAATCAAAATGTATCGCACTTGCGAATTTCTGGATTACCGAGGGCGTCTTCAATTAGGAACCAAAAGGCAGAGTTTGTATCGACTATCGAGTAAATGCGAATCAATGTATTGTCTCTCTCTGCTTACTCACATTGTTTTGCTGGGGTTGCAGCCTTGACAGATCCTGTTCTGGTACCAGAATTGGGCTTGGAACTTGCCACACAAGATGATCCACTTGATTTCTGGATTGATGCTCTAATGTCACCAAAAAGATCACCCTCAAGATTCTCCATGGTCAAACCCTCACTTGCCAAGGTAGATAACGAATCAGTTGATCTTTCTAACTCCTCTCTAATTCCAGGTAACATCTCTCTTTCCTCAGTCTTCCCCATCATGCTAGACAACTCATCTGGTTCCAGAACACCTAATCACATGGATAATCGATGTTAGAGTGGGGCTACACCACATCTTTCATACGAGGCACACCTACCTAAAACCATTGCAAACTAAATTCTACCTGCGCTCGTGAAGAAGGCACTGTCCCAGGCTAAACTTTTGCGCAAGTTGTACTTCATATTTTTCTTGGTCTGTTCCGGTTCTAACGATTCAAGAGGCTGATGTTCCCTGGCATCATCCCCGCACTCTGTGCTTTGAAGACTCTGAGAATCCACAAGGTTTAATGACAGATCGCTAGCATTGTCCAACAAATCATCTGCAGATTAAGTTGCAGCAAAACTCAGCCAAGGTAGAACATCTTCTGAAAGGGCAAAAGAAGACAAATTTCATACAGCATCTTGGGATAAAGCTTCTTAAAAGCAATCCCAGAGCCCTAAACTACCACTTTCTGGACCCAAAACGAGACAGCAGATAAGCTAGAACATATAGTCGTCAATTTCGGGAAATCTTCCCGTAATTAGCTTACAGATCCAAATCAACCCTAATGATTCGTTTACTCATAGCTTCAATCTTGCAACTGGAACAGATGAGATCCAAATATTGGGCAGAAGAGAGAGCAACAATAGGAAGGGGGAAAAAAAGGGTTAACCGCAGGCCCTAAAACAACACTCGGTAGCCTGACAGGGAATCAGCAGCCGCGGCAGACCCAGAAACGGGAAAGAGCCAAGAAGAGCTGGAAGTAAAAGAAACAAGAGATAGAGGCAAGTGACCTGAGAAGTGAAAGTCTTGGCGAGGCGGAGAAGAGGTCGCATAGAGGCAATCGTCCTCCAAGGAGACGTCGAAGAGCCCGAGACGGTTATCCTCGAGGCCGAAATTCTCACTGGGCTCGCTCATCGTCGAAGTGGGGAAAGCGGAGGTGCTTTCTGGATCGGAACGCCGCCGGGTGTGAGAGATGCGGTCGAGATTGAAGGATCGGAGGCGGACTGAGTTGGGGGCAAAGCGGGGGGAGCTTGGAATTTCTCTTTCCTTTTTTTTTTCCCTTTGTGGCAGAGGAAAGAGAAATTTGAATTTTGGAGAATCGGCGGTTTAGACTTTTAAATTAAATTAATCGAATTCAAACGGAAAAAACTCAGAACGAAACAACTGGAGTGTTGAGAATTGAGATCAGAGCCGAGAAAGGTAAAGGCGGACGTGAAAATAAAAACAAAAAAAATTTAATTTAGAATTTTAGATGACTATGTCCACAAGTGACGCGTCTTCGTGGCAGAAAGTAGTTTGGGAGCGTCTGCCAAGTGCCAAGGCCCAAGAGGCAATAGGAGTTGGTTCTGTTCTTTTGAATTGATTTTTTTTTTAAGAATACACACCTTGTAAGAAAGATCCAAGCTTAACACAAAAGATCAATTGAGAGATCTTCACGACACAATGCGTCCCAGTTCGTTCGACACATTGACCATAACAATTGGACAAAGCAATACCATAAATCGTCATCTGTGAGTCATTTGAAAATGGTCCATCACACTGAATCTTGGAGATTATTCAACGATGGACATGATTCTGGCCAGATTGCTCAAAGCTTAACAGATCTGAGGGAACTGGAGACTGAAATCACTAAAACCAAGGAGACAGAGGAGTACCACAAGACCATGAAACCACAAAAAACACGCCTTGGTCCATTCCGTGCGGGTCATAATTTGTATGCACGAGACTTTACTAACTATCCCATCTTGAGTCAAGAATAACTCAAGATGACATTGTTGGTATAGTGGCTGATCAAGGTCGTATTTCACGGGGTTTTTCGGTATCCTAGACTACTTCTCACTCGGTTGTTTATCTAGTCAATAAGGTTTTGGGTTGGTTGGAGAACAATTGGCAATAACTAGCAACAAAAGTATAAATGAGAAAGCAGGTACTCAGAGCACCGCCCTCGCCCAAGTTATGGGGATGAAGTACAAGAATCACTAATATAAGATCTAGTCAATGGTCATGCAACTAACCCCCCTCCTCATTCGATCCACTGACCCAATCTCACATCAATCAGATTCATGAATTAGGGATACACTATATTCCTTTTTTCAATGGGTTGAACTCATATGCACACTAGGTCGATATGTCGATGGTCGCACACGTACCTCCCTAGCATCACTTAGGTGGGCATCTTAGTTGGCAGAGAATGGTCATCTCGTCCACCAACTAGGTCCCTAAATCAATCATCTACGCAAATCATGCCAAACCGCTCAATCCACAACACCTTCAATCAAACCGTAACTAGGCAATCAAAGATAGCATATGGAAAGACAAGTTCAAACCACAATAATCATAGATAGATGCATAAAAATACTAGACAAACACATTTCATTCATAAACTTAAGAAAAATTCCTCTTACATAACGAACCTAAAACTAGATTTTAGGGACGAAACTCGTAGTACCTTAAGTGACTACCCCATAAAGGGGGGGGGGGGCAGAATATCACATGTGGAGGCATTCCGTAGCAAGGACACGATGAGAGCGTCACGAGATTAGGTGGGGAGAATATCAAGAGTGGCGCGTGACATGATGAGTGATGTGGCGTGTCATGATCAGGTCAAGCACGTGTGGCATTATGGATGACTAGTAGCATGAGATGCTCCTAGGATTCCCCATCTTAGATGAGTTTAATGGTGCACATAAAGAGCTACATTATGAGGTGGTATAATGGTGTGTATTATGGGGGGGAGACATAATAGGGTGTAGTAATGGGGGAGAACATTATGAGGGGTATTTTACACCTTGTAAGAGGGAAGGACCTATATAAGGAGGACCTCCTCCTCATTTGTAATCATCCATCATTTTTATGAGCAATACACTTTAGAGAGTTTCTCCCATCTTCTTGAGTCTTTTTCTTGTGAGTGAGTGAGTTCGAGTGAGTGAGAAGGTTGACTAGGCACCTCAGACACACTTGAGGGCTAAGGCAGCACGGGCGCGATTTAGGTCCCTGACAGTAGTCACTGATAGGGACATCGACAATCGGTGGGGGAATGGCTGGCAGTGGGTCGAGGAAGAGTGTGTATGCTCCCGAGCGAATACATGGAAGATGCGTTGGTTGTCATAAGCAACTGTCATTGAACCAATCTGCTCGAGTTCTTGCAATGGCGGATCAGTTTGGTTTCATGAGGTCTTGTTTGAATGAGAAATGAGAGTATTCTTGTCAATCCTTGCAAGGGAGACAAGAACCTAAGTACTCTCATGTACCGCTTGTTACTCTTATTATGTACTGCTTGTTCAACAATTGGGATCTTCTTTATAGTGAGAATGAAACAAAGAAGTCGGATGAAAACTACTAGGATTGTGGCAAGCAAGTAATTCTACATAGTTTGCAAGAATCCTAAAGTGTCCTTAGTTTAAGTGTGTTTGGATATGTCTATTTCAAATGTAATATATTTTAAAATGTATATTATTGAAATACTAGCATCTAAAATACATATAATTAAATTCATTGTTTGAATAGTCATTTATAATATTTAAGTATTTTAAATTTTAGATTTTAATTGTGAATCTTTTGGCCACTTACTACAAATTTTGGTAAGTTACATTTTGGTACCCAAGTTTATTTTTTCTTAATACCTAAACTTATAAAATTTTACAAAATGGTCTAGAAATTTTTGTGGTAAAATTACATTTTGATACCTTTATATATTTTTCCTCACACTATAGTACCTAAACTTTTAAAATTATACAAACAGGTACAATCTTTTGTTAGAAGGCATTTCAAATCACTAGTTATTGAAAATATTTGAAGTTGACAACAACGTTGACGGCAATGTTGTTTTCAAGCAGTGGAAAATATTAGAAACATGTTTTTTCCGTTGTAATTATGTTGTTCATAACCATTTAATTAAGTCTTTGGGGATATTTTCGTACTAATCATACTCATTTACTTGGTTGTTAAATCATTAGTTAGGTTTAGATCCATCATTAGTGTTACGAGTCTTTTTCTATAAATATCTATGTTGTTGTACCTTTCAAATTATTAAAAAGAATATTACAGAAATTATCCCGAAATCTTAGTCTCTCTCAACCCTCCAAATATCTTCCTAAAGACCTCAACCATTCTATCCAATTCTGCCCAATTATGTTCTCATAATCCCCAATTTTCCTTCTCCAATTTCTAATTTTTATTCGGCAAAATCCACTTCCATAGCCATAACTTTACACTTTGTGACAAATATAGCCAAGTTTTGAGAAATACACAAAAATAGCCACATTTTAAAAATACATTTGACAAATTTAGCCATTTTCGTTAAAAATATTAACGGTGTTAGAGATTCCGTTAACATCGTCAACAATAAGCTGAGGTGGACGCCACCTAAGCACCCACATCAACTCTCAGTCGCCATGTCATGCCACGTGTACGCCACATAGGATTAAAAATATGTTTGATTTAAAATTATTTATATAAAATAATTAATAATTCTTTTATTAATTATGAAACAAACAAAAAATCCAATTATAGCCGACGCAGGGCGTCGTGCTCGGCGCCGTTGCTTGTGATTGTAGAATCAGTGTCGTCGCTTAGGGTTATTCATTTTCTTGATCTGAATTTTTCAAGGAGGAACTCACAATGGAGATAGCATATCTCGTGCTTGCTGAACTCTCTCAGCGCTCTAGGAGGAGGCCCAGAGCTTTAGGGTTTTTGCAAGGAGGCTTGTGGGAGATGTCGATTGCGGCCTGCGGCGGCATCCCTCTGCTTCTGAGCGAGCCCCAATGACAACCAGGGAGTCAATTTTGATTCCTGGGTTCGTTGTGTCAAAACAAAAACATAATTCCTGGGTTCGAGAGAGATATGAAAACACCACCAACACAATAGACCCATTCTTTTCATCTTCATCTTTCCTCCTGCAAGCTTCTATCTTTCCCCCGTAGCCGCCAATGAAGCTCAAACAGGGTCGTTGTCCGCAACTCCAACGGCGGCTGAAGATCAAATCTTGCCGATGATGGGGAAGAAGCAGCAGCGGCAGAGAAGGGGCTGCTGGAAAAGGACGATTAACTGTGATTCTTCTTCAACATCGCCGATTCATTAGGGTTTTTGCTCGACCACCGCCGCAACTGCCAAACCCCAGTCCAGAGATGGAGGGAGGATGGGAAAGACGAAGAGGAAGATGACGACGAGGTGCAGTGCAGATCTGGATTTAGGGAGTCGGATTAGGAAGTCGAAGCGCCAAAAGGAAAATTACGATGGCGGATCTAGAGGATCTCGAGAATGGTGGAACTTGATGAGCTCGAATTTGGCGATGGTTCAAGATGAAGCCCTATGGTGCTGGTGGTGATTATTTCTCTGATTGCGGTTACTACTTACTACCGCCGATTGCTTGTGCGGCGGGTTGATGGGAGTGGAAGGGTAGACACAAAGAGGTAAAGGAGAAGAAGAGAGAACTTGGATGCAGAGGAAGGAGATCAGGGAATATGGATCCGAAAAAAATTATAGTAAATAGGTGAGATTTTTTTTGTTGTTAATGTTTTTTATTTAATAAATATATTTAAATTTAAATTCCACCTGGCATGCCACGTAGACCAAGGCAGGCGCGGTCACAGACGATCGTTTGTCCAGTCAGCCATGGTTAGAGTTCCGTTAAATTAATTGACGGAATGGCTATTTCTGTGTATTTCTCAGAATCTTGCTATATTTGTCACAAAGTGAAAAGTTATGGCTATGGAAGTGAATTTTGCCTTTTTATTCTCAATCTCTGAATCTCTTTCTATCTATCCCATCTTATTACAAGTAATTACCGGTGCCCAACATCCATACGCCTGAAAGAAAGCATATTTCTCTGTATTGGCCTTCAACCCAGAGACTTTTGGCAGCGGAGAAGGTCCAAACGAGCCACAGAAGCATCGTTGGTGTGAGCCGTAGATCAGCAGTAACCTCAAAGTTGTTTCGTGAATTAGATGCTCAAGTATGGTTGCTTGCTATTTGAATGAACTAAAATGTACATTTGGGAGGTGATAAGATTTGATTGTGAAGTTTAAGGCCTTGTTCACTTCCATTTTCGTTTTTTGTTTTCTGTTTTCATGTCATAAATTTAGCAACCAAAACGAGAAAACTTGTTTACTTTTTATTTGATTTTCTATTCGTTTCCAACTATAAAAACAAAAAATGGCAACTTCCTGCTGTTTTCGGAAACGACAAAATGTTGTTTTCACCTGTTTCCAAAATCTGTTTTCTCAAAAACAGGTAACAGAAATGAAAGTAAACAGGCTAGTTTTTCAGAAGGTGGAGTTAGGGCTGTCCATTTGGGAGTATACTCGTACAATTCGATGGCGCAATGTTAAGAAGCATGGGCTTAACAATAATCAACTAGACTCCAGAAAACATGAAGTAACTACAGGTCCGTCACATCCTAGTCCTACCCGTACACGTAAAACTCTTTGTACATTATTATCAAAACTCACTAAAACTCTCCTTCAACGCAGACGCGCGTCTTCTACTTCTTTCCGGAGCTGCTGCACTTCCGCCCGCTGCTTGCAGGTCGTTTCTTCGGGGAAGAACAGTACTTGAGACGGTAACTCACGAGGGAAGGCCCGAAAGTGCTGTACTTCCCCGCGCTGCTGAATGCCGTCTCTGCATCATCACGCTTGCAGAATACTACCCTGGCCCGGCTGCTCTTCTTTAGGACCTGCGTCTCGGATTCCTGCAGCGTCCCAAAACGACCAAATATCTTGTTCAGCTCCTCCACTGTTGGAGCTGACTCGTAGTCCGTGAAGTTCAGGATCAAAGCGGTGGGGGATGGATCGTCGTCACTGGATTTCTCTTCCACCTGCTCATTCGGCGGCTTCACCACTGCATCCGCGTCATCGGCATCTGCTTCCTCGCCATTTTGCTGCTCGGGAGTCCCATTGCCGCCCTGTTCATCAGTTGCTGGTAGTTCAGCAGCTGCTGCTATAACCTCTTCACCATTTTTACATTCCGATATCGATTTTTCTTCGAGGATTGGATCGCTGCCTTCTTCCTCAAGAATTTTGGTTGCTGGAGAATCTGATTTGGTGGGTGATTTTTTCCCCTTGGATTTTGCAGGCCTCTTTTTACTTCCTTGCTTCTTCTTCTCCTCTTTAGTCCTTTGAGAAGAAGGGCCATCATCGTGGGATTTCAGTATTGGAGATGAACCATTCATTTCACTGGCCACCTTGAGGATGCTAAATCCAATTCCAAAACTTCCCTTTTTAGACTGGGAAGTGTTCTTACCACTACCTTCTGGAGATGAAAGAGTTTGGCTCTTCTTCACGGCCAAATCATCAAAACCTGAATCAGCAGCCTTTCGCTTCTTTCCGTCACTGGACTTCCCAACAGCCTTACTCTCTGATTTGCTTTTGATATTAGACGATTTGCTTTTATCATTCGATCGCCTCTCAGCAAATAAAGCAGCCAATGTTTTCTCTTTCTTGGCAGGGGTTTGCTCCTTGTCCACAGAATGGCGCTTCCTCTTTGAAGAAGAAGTCTTCTTTTCATTCTCATCATTGCCCTGAGTCGGCTCTACTGCAGATAACGTAACATCTACTTGCTCATCCAACACAGTCCCAAGAATTTGGAACTCAGGCAGCTGAGAATAGCCCTTCCATCGACTTAAAGCCAACACCTGTGATCTTGCAGTTAAGAATTCCAGCCTATCAACCCCACCCAATGGTGATTGACCAATTCCCTTGATGTATTGGACAAGTTTCTCCGGGCGAAAAGAAGCTACACTAGAACATATTTCCCCTCCATCTCTTCTACAATACTCATCCTTAATTCCAGGATTGACAATTACCTGGGTTTTGATCTCGTTGTACTCAGCTACACAAGGACACGCTAGGCCAAACTCCACACGTCGGGCAACTTCATCAAGAGCGCAATCAATGGCATCATGAAATTCCTCCGAATTGCTCTGCTTTGCCATCTGGGAGAAATGGGCACGGAAGGGCTTTATCTTTGATGTCTCATTCCAAGCGAAACTCTGATCCCCAAAATAAACTATCAAATGGCGCTCCTTCTTCATATACTTCTTTGCCTGGTCAGATGCAGCGGAGGTATCGAATATCTGCGCCGGCCACCATGGATGGCTCCTTACTTTGCCCCATACTAAATCAGAATCAGCAAATTTGGATCTCCAAAGACCGCCTTTCATGTTAGTTCCGACAGTGGAGGGAGCAACATCTGAGTTATCAGGCTTTGTTTTCACCCTCTCTGAAGTTACATTTCGAGATTCAGATTCCGTTTTAGGGTCATTAATTTCCATTTTCTGATCTTCGAGATGCTTGATGGTCTTTCCGTGTTCGGAAACCCTATTGTGCGAGCTGCCAACAGGGACTTGCCTTTCCGGGGTTTCAGCATCCTCATTCCCAAACACCTGATGAGAGGAATCGTCGCTCTGGACTTGGATTGCGCAGGCATCGGTTGTTGCTCCTTCTTCTTCTTCCTTAACCTGACAAGATCCATTTGATTCAACCTTTTCGGAAGGTTCTTCTTCACCTCCTTGCACGCCAAGATCCAAAATCTCGACATTCCCCTTCACCGGACCAAGTCCCGCTTCCGAGTCATCAACTCCTCCATCACTAGATTCCACTTTACCTTCGCAGCCCTTCGACTCATTCGCCCCTACGACATCCAGAACTCCTTCGCCTCCCCGCTTTACCACTACTTCCGAATCCTCAACTCCTCCATTACTAGATTCCACTCTACCTTCGGAGTCCTTCAACTCATTAGCAGCTTCGACATCCTCCGGAACTCCTTCAATTTTCACCGTTTTCGAATCATCAACTCCTCCATTACCAGATTCCACTTCCCCTTCACAGAGTTTCAACTCATTACCCACTTTGACTTCCGGAACTCCTTCAATAACCGTCTTTTCCCCCTCGCCGTGACCGTTGACAGAGTCAGCTAGGGTTTCAGCACCCGAAGAAACGACCACCGGTTCAGCAGAAAGAGCACCGGAAGCATTTTTTGCCGGTACGGCGGAAGCGCCGTGGGTGTTCAAGTCGATGTCGTCCAGATCCCCGGACATAACTTCTACTTCTACACTTTGAAGAAAACCTAACGTCAACGGCGCAAAAGGAGAGTAAATTGAAATAGAAGCCGCAAAGAAAAGAAAGAGAGGGACGAGACCAACCTTGCCTTTCCGGCAGCGGAGACGACGCCGCCGAGCTTAAGTAATTGTAGTTTTTTTCGGAAGGGAAGAGGGAATTTTGTTTCCTTCGGAGTTTTTCCTTCCGCTACGGGGACATTTGTTTGACGTTGAGGGGAAAGGAAGGAAGGGCGAGAGCGAGACGGAAAAATAGGCAACAGCTGGCCGCTTGCCGTGGGGGTTTCAGTGCTTGCTCCCGTTGGCAGCGTACGATGTTCCGTTATGCCACGTGGTGGGATTCTGACGGCTTGATTAAGGAAATTGGTTTTACTTCTGGCGGCCGAGGGATCAAGTTCAGGTGGGCGATGGTGTGGGGCTGTGGGCTCAATATTCTCGCCACGTGTCGAGAATAAAGAACAACTAGCTTTAACCCAACCCGTTGGTCGGAGGACCGAAATTTCATTTGTAAGTTTGGAGCTCATGAAGATGGTGAGAGCGATATCTTATTACATGTAAAACTTAGAGAAATCAGCTGGTTTGACCAACTGATTGAGCACTGAGCCAAACTTCAACTCCGTACATCGTTTGCAAGGGAAGTGGTTGTTCCTCCCCAATTTCATAATTTCACGTTCTCAAACCCTAGACCCTCGCTAGAGATGGAGATCTTTTCGCGGACAGCTACTCTGGCTGCTGTGACCAGCTCCTCTGACTGCCACCCATGGCATCATCATAGTCAATCGCCTCCACCTCGTGGATCTTGCCTCCCGCTCCCCGCACGAGTCGGGGATGGAAATGTACTTGTACTTAGTGGTACCATAAATCCACCCTCATTTGTTTTGTCTCTCAAAGCTCAAATCATTATGTTGCAACCTATATCTTTAAAAGTGTTAAATGTGGGCCAACCAATTGGGTTGATCCTAAAACCATTAACCATAACTCATGTGCTTGATCGCATCAACGGTTTGATCTAGCCATTCGAGTTAACAACCTTGCTTAATATAGATTTATTTACCAACTAAACAACCATTAATATCGCTAAAAATGCATGCTTTTAATTTTGTAGTTATATGGAAATTTATATTTATTACTGGGGAGAATTGCATTTCAGGAAATAAATGAAAATGGCAAGAATCCACCTAAATGCAATTGGAGTGCTATTACAACCGAGCAAGGTTGTCAAACCGGTTTATACCGTTGTGCTAGTTTGGCAACTAAAATGGTACGACTGGTGGTATAACCAGTTTGTGCCGGTTCATGCCGTTTTAAAAAAATGTGAAAATAATTAATATCCAATGTATTTAATCATATATAAAACATATTTGTGGACAATTTAGTTACAATCCAGCAAATATCATCAACTTTTAACTATTAAATTCATAAAATGAATAATAAATTAATTTTTTATTAATTAAATTCATTAATATGATGTCATTTTGCTTAGAATGCATAAGTCGATCATACCAGTGGTGCCATGCCGGTTTCATGACCGACACATGTTGAACCAGATTTAACCGGATGGCATGCAAACGACATGACAATTGACAACCATGTAACCGAGACAAACCTTTAACTTATATACCCAATGAAGTAGTAATCTCATGAAGTTAAGGTCTAGATAAAAAAACAAAATTGTCAATTGTATGTTGACGAAGATGAACCCTTAACTAAAATGTTTGCAGAGCCCTACATATACAGTTGGTTAATGCATAATAAAGAAAGTTTATGGTATGAACTAAGACACCCAATCACTACTACCCCTTCACATAACAGGCGGGGAACAACATAGAGGAATATAAATTGGCGACCTAACAAAAACTAAGTACACTAAAGGATCGTCGTGACTCATGACAACTGAAGCAATTCTTCTCGATTGAGGCAAGGGGAAAATTACTTGACTTCAGTGGTTGCACTCTCAGCTGTTATGTGGATGATATATGAGTTTGAAGCAGCGCACGACAAAGTGGTGATCACATCCTTTACTCCCAGAGAAGAGGTATGCATTTTTCTCGAGTAAAATAGAAGTAAATCATGGTGAAACGGTCATGAAACACATGCAATCAGTTGGCAAGATTGGTATGCATTTTTCCTTGAGTAAAATAGAAGTAAATCATGGTGAAATGGTCATGAAACACATTACCAAAACACGAACATCCAATTGAAATAAATTAAGGTCTATGACCTTGCAAAAGTAAGAACTTGTTGCTGCTTATATAAAGTCCCCAATGATCGGTGCTGGTTAACTTCCCAATGCATAAGAAGTAACTATAAAACTCATTGCAAAATGTATCAACGGGTCTTTTACATGAAAGCAACTAACTGGTTTAAGATGGGATGAATCTCGGAACATTGTGATAAGAACTCAAATAACATAAACACGAACACAAGGATTTACGTGGTTTCCCTGAGAATCAGGACTAGTCCACGGGAGAGCTTGTACTCTCCGGAGTCAATCTTATTCGTCTTATCGGCTGCAGTATGTACATAGGGAGTATATATATATGCATGAGCTGTGGGTATCATAACCCTAATCCTACTTAGTTTAGGACTTAAGGACAATTACCAAAAGACACCTAAACTAAACATACACGATAATTCAACACCCTCCCTCAAATTGATGAGGCTTGCGCAACATCAATTTGTTTGACAGATACCAATGTCGGCTAGACCCAACTGCCTTTGTCAACAAATCTGCGGTCTGGTCTTCTGTTGACAAGTATCTAAGCTCAATTACTCCTTCTGTTACCAGCTGTCTGATGTAGTGGACGTGTGTCTCAATGTGTTTAGTCCGGTCGTGCAGAACAGGATTGGTAGCAATCTTGATTGCACTCGTATTGTCGCCAAACAGTCGCATAGGTGTCTCGCACACCACTCCCAACTCTCCCAAGAGACGCTGTAGCCACACAAGTTCTGAACTTACTTCAGACATAGAGCGATACTCGGCTTCAGTAGAAGATTTTGAAACTCTGTCCTGCTTCTTGCACCGCCATGATATAAAGGAGCTTCCCAGCCTAACACACCACCCGGAGGTAGATCTTCGAGTATCAACACAACCTGCAAAGTCAGCATCCGCGAATGCTTCCAAGACAAACTGTCCTTCTTTTGAAAAAAAGAGTCCAACATCTTGAGTGCCTTGTAAGTACCTCAAAATTCGATGAACTGCATCTAAATGCATTGTACGAGCCATCCCCATAAATTGACTCACCACTTGAACTGCATATGCTATGTCCGGTCGTGTAGAACTGAGATATCGAAGTGACCCTACAAGGGTTCGATAATACGTCTGATCATTCAACAGGTCCCCACTCGCCCGACTCAACTTCAAGTTCTGCTCCATTGGTGTATTGCATGGCTTACAATTATCAAACTGATATTCAGCTAGCAAATCACGTACATACTTCCGTTGACTTATGAGGATGCCATGATTAGTCCTTTCAATTTCCAAGCCCAAGAAATATGAGACTTCACCAAGCTCCTTTAGTTTAAAGGCCTGATGAAGTGATGCAGTAAGCTCGCGGATTCCATCCTGGTCATTTCCTGAGATAATCATATCATCCACATATAGAAGAAGTACTATGATGCCATGTACCGTATTCCGCATAAATAATGAGGGGTCATTCTGGCTTTGTACAAAACCAGCTTGCACGATCGTACCATGAAACTTCTCGAACCAAGCTCTTGGGGCCTGCTTAAGGCCATATAATGACCTCTTTAGACGACAGACTGTATTCGCATCTCCTTTAGTGTAGCCAGGTGGTCGAGCCATGTAAATCGTTTCTTTTAGATCACCATGAAGAAACGCATTCTTCACATCTAGCTGCACAAGAGGCCATCCTTTCATTGCTGCAGTTGCTAGAACACAACGTACAGTTTGTATTTTGGCGACTGGAGCAAACGTCTCATCGTAGTCTATCCCATACTCTTGACTGAATCCTTGTGCCACTACTCGCGCCTTATGACGTTCTATTGCACCATCTGGTTTCATCTTGATCGCATATACCCATTTGCTGCCGACAACAGACATCTCCGGAGTACGAGGAACTAAGTCCCAGGTGTCATTAGCTTCTAAGGCATCAGTTTCCTCTATCATCGCTGCATCCCACTCCGGAATACCACATGCTTGGCGATAGTTAGCAGGAACAAAATTCGAGTCCACAGAAAATCCCACGTAGTCATGGAGTCTCACTGGGGGCTGCCCACGTGTAACTCGAGTGGACCGTCTAAGCTGCTGATCATCATTCATTGTAGACTCGACATTCAAGTCGGTGCTATTCTCACCCATGGATCCATCAGAGGAAGATGACAACGAGATAGATGAGCTCATTGACGAGGGCGACGACGGACCCGAGGAACCATCGTGCGAAGAGCTGCTGGACGAGGCTGAAGGGGAGGAACTGGGTGCACTACTGCTGCCACTTTGTGCGCTACTGCTGCTTGTTAATATCTCACTCTCATCCCCTCCCTGAGGCGTAGCAGGGGAAGATGGAAAATGACACAAGAATGCCAAGCTTTGCTCAAATGCCTCACGGTCAGAAGGTGCTTGACTAGAATAATAAGGCACATGCTCCATAAATAGAACGTGGCATGCAATGCGTAGACGACGTCCCACTGGATCATAGCACATATACCCCTTGTACCTGTCACTATATCCCAAGAAAACACACCGCACCGTCTTCGGAGAGAGCTTATGGCGTTCGCGGCGAGGTAAGAGAACAAAATAGAGGCAGCCGAACACTCTAAGACGACCATAATTTGGGTGACGGGAGTACAGCTTGAAGAAGGGTGAGAGACCATCTAACACAGGTGTGACTTGACGATTGATCAAATGGACGACAGTATGAGCTGCTTCAACCCAAAATCGTGCCGGAACACCAGAACGGAACAAAATGGCGCGTGTAAGCTCAAGAACATGACGATTCTTGCGCTCCACGACCCCATTTTGT